CAATGATTTATGGTTCAGAGTACTGGTGCAACACCGATACAGAATAATAAACTTGTGACGCAAGGGAACCTGGAAAGAAGAATATGGAAAGTGTCTCTTCAAGAACATGGCCCAACTGCGTCAGTTTGCTGTCGGACACGATTTTTGGATGTACTCAATGCCTCCTAGAACTCGAACAGACGGTGGGCTAATCATATGGCTCATATGGACATCCTGAGTTATGAACTGCATTCCATGGCAACAGACGCCCATTCGGCCTTACACCAATACGCTTGGACGGCGCAATGACGAAGTTGTAAAAGTCAATGGCGAAGCAAATTACACAACAAAGGAGAAAAGTGGCGTAATGTTGACTTGCGTCTGTGGCGCGGCCACTGAGGAAAACAAGTCGGATAGAGGAACATTTGCGAAAGCAGTCAATCAAACACGAAACACTCCAAATGCATCAAAAACAGCCACGACCCCGTAACCAAAACAGAGCTCGTTAACTAAAAGGATGGGAGGATAGTTACATTAGGCCTGAACCTATGCACAGATGACTTGCCACCTTGAGATGCAAGTTCGTACCGATCGTGCGGATCTTGCTACGGATTCAACAGTGGTTACGCACTCCCTGAATCTGAGCTAATCAATTTAAATGACTTAATACTTGCAAGCATCAATCCAGAATCAGTGCGTTAGATCCTCCCTGAAAAATTCTTTTAAGTAACACCTGCTACTACGAAACGTATTACGGGCAGTTTAAAAAAAGCTTCATGAAATGCTCTTCATGCTCTCTACTCATCAAATGCTCTCTACTCGAAGTTGCCATAAGTTCTTTAAACATTTCTCATTTCTAATGCCCTTCATTTGCTTGCTTATGTTGTACATCGTCGTTATGATGATTTTATTATTTACCTGCCAATTTTTGTTATTCTTAACGATCGATATCTTCTCCATGCATTATTAATTTGTGCTGACGAAGGAACCCCGATGTTATTTCCGAAAGCTTCACTTATTAACTGCATTTTCCAACCTTATTACTATTTCGTTCTTAACTTATACCAGTATGGTTTTGAGGATTAATAAAACAGTTCAGCTCTTTAATAATTACATAATTGCAGCAGCTGAAAATGGGTCATTTAAAGTACGTTCGCCCGTAGTGTGCATCGGAACAGCAAGTAACTTTTTTCAAGAGGCTGCCCCAAACAGTTGTGGCAGGAGTTGCGTCGCTTCCAGTGGTGTAATGCTGTTCGTCGCGCGGATTTTCGAACCCTTCGAACCGGTGACAGATGAACATGCAAAAGCAAATATTGATTATCAACAACTCGCAAACGCATTCGATGAGCCGACAGACTTCAGTCACTTTCGTTAACGCCGCCGCTAATCTTCGGGCTAAGCAATCGACAGCCTAACAAGATCCCTGCTGCCAGTGTCTCCCGCGATTCAGCGGACAACGGGGCTTGTCGAAAGTCGCCGTTGGGCCAACAACCACTGATGCATCGAGCAATTCGAGCCCACAGCCACGATGAAAATGACTACTGTCTCAACGCCTGCCCTACTACTAGAGCATTCAATACCATCACCCTCTCCACTAAATCTAGAAATGGGTACGAATACGTCATTACACAGTCGGAAAAGGTTAATTCAAAAACAACTGTACATCGAAGAATAAGTGCTATATGGCTTGGTGCAAGGCCACCAGAGCAACCGGTGAAAAATGTAACAACCCTGCGGAATCATGCCTTTTCCTTCTTTACCGGCGAAAACGAACGAGTATCAAGTGATGAAACTGCGCTGACCAATTGGTTAAAAATCGACATTCCTCGGTCATTCATTCGCTTGTCAGAAGAGTATTTTCTCGGATGATGTCAGCCTTGTTCGACACCAAAATTGGTGCAAAAACGAAGGTAAATCACCGGCAGTCTACTGAGTCTACAACCCTGGTACTTCTTTCGACAACAGCTTCTAGCAAGGCAGAAAGCAACATGAGTCTTCGATTGCATTCTATGTTGCAAAATATATATGTATTTAATGTTTAAAATGATGTTGTACCATTACAGCAATACACAACGTTATTATACTGACTTATGACAGAAGATCAAAAAATTAACATCTGCCTGTGAATTTGCAGCAGCCAAAGCTGTGGGGCCAGAATGATGACAGGCTAAACGGTCGGTCCCTTACTACGCCTACAGTCACCTAATTCATTCGAATTATTCAGGATCACAGCCACAGGATGAACCTCAGTAGTACACAACAGTTATTATATTGCGAGAGATTTTGAAGAAAGATGCTCATGGCTAGCCAACACAATCAAATTCAGTCGCTGCAGACTCTGTGGACCTTGCATCGTAGGCCGATCG